GTTAATCTCTACCTCTTCTTCTAAGATGACTCAGAATACGAGCAAGAAATTTAAGAATGCTAGGTTGACGGAATATTCATCTGAGCTCGAATCACTTAATAAATGGTCTATTCCAAATCTCCCTAATAAAGACATCTATAAAATTGAGTTCTTTGATTATAAGTCTTTGATAGCAATCAAGACTTTAGAAAGAACCACAACATTAGATCCGAATGAGCAAATATTAAATTGCTTAGTCCTGAAGATATTGAGCCTTATATTGAGCAATACAAGTATATCCATATTGGGTTAATTCAAGTAACATTTAGCCTCTTGACCTTACAAGGACTTAACGCATAGTTACTATCTTGTTTACGTAGTGCAAGATGTTTGAGCTGGACATAATCTTTGATGGGCATCATGGAAACTAGTCTATGTAACGGACCAGTATACTTTAATGTATACCTGAATCTGAGTTTATCTCTAACAGGTCCTAATATCTTAGAAGCTATGAGTCTTAACAATAAGACTCATTGACATGAATTCTTACCTGGATCAGAAACTATTGCGATTATATACCGCATACATAACAAAGCTTTAAGCATGTTAGCACCTAAAGTTAAAGTGCATACAAAACCTGGAAAGACAGTCTTAGTAGAGACTAATTTACTTTCGTCTCATATCACTGTAAACAGATAAATTAAATGGACCGAAGTAAACTTTCCTGATAGCTAGATTCTACCCAACGCTATTCAACCTCAGCCAATTGTAAATCAAGAAATTGATGAAATCATTCAGACGGATGATGGTGAAGTTGAAGTAGTCTTCAACCCTTCTAGAACGATTAAATTGTCTGATGTTACTAGTTCATCTATATATATATGGGTGTGTGTGTGTACACACACATATCTGTGTGTGTGTGTACACATATATACACATATATATGTATATGTATATGTACACAAACACACACACACACACACACATATGTGTGTGTGTGTGCATATATATGTGTGTATATATATGTACACGTGTATGTGTGCGTGCGTGCGCACACACATTTATATGTGTATATATATGCGCGCGCGCGCACACTCGCGCGCGCGCGCACATATTATTCTTTTATTAATATATAATATATATATATTATATATATATTTATTTATATATATATATATATATATATATATTATTATATATAGTTATATACTATATATATATATATAGTATATAATTATATATATATATATATATATATATATAGACAACACACATACATATTCACAAAATTGAAAAAAAAAAAATAAAAAAGAAGATAAACAAACAAACAAATAAAAGATATAAATATATAAGAAAAGTATAAAAAAAATAAAAATATAAAATATATATATATATTATATTTAATATAATATTATAATATAATAATTAAAAATAATATATAAATAATAATATAATTTATATTATAACTATATTATATATACTATATATAAATATACATACTATATATATTACATTTATATATATATATATACAGTATATATATATATTATTACTATAATATATATATATATACATATTTATATTTATATATATATATATATATATATATATATATTATATAATAAATATATATATATATATATAATATAGTATATATTATATATATGAGGAATATGGATATGGCTTGGTAGTGAGTGATATATTGATCCTCCACTCATCAATGGGGGGACCACATTCACATGGGGTTGAATGTGGTCCCCCAATTGAATGAGTGGATAGAATGAGAACCTCACTACCAAGCACAAAATTTGTGTTGGTACCAAGCAATACTCATCCTCTCCTCTCTCTCTTCTCTTCTCTCTTCGGCTCTTGTATATATATATATTAGCTATAGTCGCGATATATACTGCGAGGTATAATATTAGCCCTCTAGATTATATTATTATATAGTATTATATATATAAGTGAATTAGGTGGCACCCTAGGCTCCCACCTAAAGGACGCAAGCCTAGAGTCACATCATTTCCTTGGTTTATTGCGATCCGCTCAGTAAACTTGAATCTACACGATTCTTAAACCCAAACACTACTAATTTTGTGGTGAACCCGTCGTGTTTTTGTACCCTCTTTCATCCACTCGGCTTACAAGTTAACGATTTTGAATGAATAGAACTTTTACACGGATTCACGAATGATCAAAACACAACGGTCGTTCATCCAAACATTTAGGTGTGTTTGGGTTTAAAACGTGTAAGATAAAGTTTAACGGAGCGGATCGTAAAAAAATTAGGAAATAATGGATTTAGGCCGCGTCCTTAGGTGGAGCCTTCTAGGGTTGTACCTTTAGATTCACTTTATAAATATATATATATATATATATATTAGAGAGAGAGAGAGAGAGAGAGAGAGAGAGAAATGGAGAAACTTGGTACCGTTCTTTCATTGAACTGGTACCAAGTTGCTCCATATTTCTCATACTATAATATATATATATATATATATATATATTATATATATATATATATATATATATATATATATATATATATATATATATATATATATATATTATATATGAGATTAATGGTATCGCTTCGTCATAAGAGGGGATTTCCTCCGATGACGCGTCTAAAATCACCTGATTGAGCGACATTGTGGATGATCGTCCGTTGAACTTGAATCTCATTTCTTAAAACCCTAACAACACCCAAGTTTGGGGTGAACCGTCGTGTGACCCTTCATCCACTCGTATCAATTTAACGGGTTGAATGAATAGAACTTTTACATGGCTCGCGATGAGGGTCTCAAACGACGACGGATTCACCCCAAACTTGGTGGTGTTAGGTAAAAGAACAACCGACGATAATCATCCATAATGTGCTAATCAGGTTTTAGAGGCGTCAAAGGAGGAAATCCCTCTCTATGACATATGATACCCATTAATCTCTCTCTCTCTCTCATATATAAATATATATATATTATATATATATATATATATATATATATATATATATATATATAATATATATTCCCCAAACACTATATACACCACACATACATACTTCCCCAAATATATATAATATATATAATATATTATATATATATATATATATATATATATTATATTATTCCCCAAGACTGAGGTAGAGGAGTAGAGGAGGTAAAAGATTTTGGACCATCATGATATGAATTCCAATGGCTAAGAAATATATTCCCCTCTCATTCCATTACTAAAACATGGTACTACATATATATAATATATATATATAGAGAGAGAGAGAGAGAGAGAGAGAGAGAAATGGAGAAACTTGGTACCAAGTTCTTTCATTGAACTTGGTCCAAGTTTCTCCATATTTCTCATATATATATATATATATATATATATATATAATATATAATATATATATATATATAATATATATATATATATATATATATATATATATATATATATATGAGATTAATGTGTATCCTTGTCATAGGAGGGGATTTCCTCCTATGACGCCTCTAAAATCACATGATTGAGCGACATTGTGGATATCCGCTCCGTTGAACTTGATCTACATATCTAAAACCTAAAACACCAATTTTGGGGTGAACCGCGTGCGTTTGACCCTCATCCACTCGTATCAATTTTAACGGGTAATGAATATAACTTTTCACATGCTCGATGGAGGGTCAAACGACGACGGATTCACCCCAAACTTGGTGTGTTAGGTTTTAGAATATGTAGATCAAGTTACGGGAACGGATCACCTAATGTCGCTAATCATGTGATTTTAGAGGCCGTCAAGAGGAAATCCCCCTATGACAAGGATACCCATAATCTCTCTCTCTCTCTCTCTAATATATATATATATAATATATAATATATATATTATATAATATATATATATATATATATAATATATATATATATATTCCCCAAACATATACACACACACATACATATTCCCAACTATATATATATAATATATATATATATATATATATATATATATATATATATATATATATTCCCCAAACTGAGTGAACGGAGTAGAGGAGGTAAAAGATTTTGGACCATCATGATATGAATCCAATGGCTAAGAAAAATTCCCCTCCATTCCATTACTAAAAAACATGTTACTACAAATCCCCCCATTCATTTCCCTTCTCTAGCCTTATTTGCCCTTCCCTTGTTTTCCTTTCCTTACATTAGTAAACTTGGAAACATAGTGTTATATAGTTTTCTTTGGTTTAAGAAACGAAAACCACAATTAAAGTTTCAACGATCATCTAATTTCACACAAGACAAATCTGACTTAAACTTAACTAAGAATAAACCTTAAACATATGTTAACAAAATAAAATTTACCAAAAAAATTATTCTATTGATCCCAATTTGCAAATATATTATTTTTACCTTTTTGTTCCCAATCAACAATTTGAAGAGTAATTACCCACCGTGGATGATCTAGACGACTGGGAGGTTCTAATATGACTTCCAAAGTCTTATGTTCGATTCTACGTAGGATTATCAAAAAAAAATTTGAAGTGTAATTAAAAAAAAACTATTATTTTGGCTATACAAATAATAATAATAATAATAATAATAAATCTTAATTTGTTTAATCAATAATAATAAGATGTGAGATGGAATTATACACATTCTCAAGTTTTAC